CCCCTCGGCCTCCTCACGCGAGGGACGGGCGGGTGGCCCCCATCCTCCTCAGCCGGCTCCCGGTCGGCCCCCCAAGTCCCTCTCCCCCCCGGGGCTCTTGGCGGTGTCCAGTGACGTGTCGCGGCCGCCGCCGCGATGCCGCCTGGGAGATGTAGTCCCAGGCTGCGAGGCCTTGGGTTCGTCCCGGGCCACACAGCTCTGCGGCCTTAGACCCTGTCTCCTAGAAGGCACCAACGCTTCCCACAGACCCTGCAGGAGCCAGGCTCGGGCTGGGGTTGACGGTGACTGACACGTTCAGCCAAGAGAAACATAGGAGCTGAATGAATGGCGATTCCGGCCCGGAACTCCTAAAGCGGTTCGATTAAGGTTCGCGGGATGGGTAGTCTCTTGGGGCCCTAACTGGAAACGCATGCTGGGAAATGTAGTCCGTTCTTGGAACATTGCGCTGCATGAAACCTCAAGCTTCAGGGAGGTGGAGGTGGCTGTTGGAAGTTTGGGCTCCAGGCTTGTCTGGTACCTCTGTGGGCAAGGGGAGGTTGGCCGGCGAGGTATTCTGTTGAAAGACCCCAGGCAGAGATCTTCCTCCGGGAGAGACCCCAAACCCAAGGAACACACCGAAACCACAGATCAGATGCAAAAGCAAGAGGGTTTATTTAGGCCAGGTACCTGGGGCGAAGTCTCTTGGAGGACTTGCGCGCCTTCCTAGGGCAAGGGGGACTTTTTATGGGATCCCAGGGACAGAGGCGCGGTTACAGAAGCGAGAAGCATAGTTACAGGGTCCCTATTGGTTGTTTCAAAGAAGGCCAGGGTGAACTTGGGGTCGCTTGTGTGTGGCTGATTTGGCCTTGTCCAGGCCAGCTGCTTATTCTTCAAGGCCAGGGGCCCGCCATAAAATATCAACTGTCTTACTCCCAAGGCCGCTGACCCAATTATCCCCTCTATCTTAGGCCCGATGGCTGGCCATAGTTATCTTTTTCTTCCAAGGCCGGCTGGCTAGTTAGTCACAGCTGTGAACTCCTGTTTTTCTGATTCCTGCAGAATGGCGTTTCTAAGGCCAAGTTATTGGGGGGGCATAACATCGGCCCAACGCCCCATATCCTCATAATGGAGCGGGGGTCTTTCATTCCCCCATTTTCTTTTGTATCAAATGAAATCTTTCATTTTAGGATGGAGAATAAGGGGTTAGCTCTATCTCTGACTGTCTGAGCCTCTGATATTGTTGGGTTAGGATCAAAGCCTGGGCAACAGAAACCTTATCCTTGATGAATTG